CGGCGGATGAACGCTTGCTGCCTGACCGGGCAGAAGGAGGGGACCATGCTCCTTGGTGGCAGTGCTGGCTTAAGTCAATTCTAAAACGACGGTGTGAGGCAGAAATACCCAGTTGAAAAGGCTTCTTAGGAACTTCAAAACCTCCAGGCGTGAGAGCTCGGTTCAGTTAGCTGTTATACTTGTATGCTCTGATAAATAACAGTGGGTGTTTCCAAAAAAAACATGAAAGTAACTGATTCTTCCAGAAACTCTGAATACTTTTTCTCAGTATCACAGTGTGGTGCAGTTTTCTCGTGCCCCCAGCGCAAACGCCGGAGAACAGGAATCCCCTTTCTCTGGTTTTGGATGTTGCCTCACACAGCGGTGCTTTTGTTGTAGCTAGGGCTCTTGGGGTAGGTGTCAGTTCTGCTGCTGCGACTGCGGCTGAGTCAGTTGTTCAGCTCTGGAGGTTCATCGCAGGCTCTGCTCTCTCCCAGCGTGGAAGGATCTGCCGACAGTCAGCAGAGGCCAAGAGGGACAGTGTGGGGAGTTTTGGGTTTGGTTTTTCCCAGATCTCCTCTGAGTCAGAGCCTGAGAAAGCCAGGTGCAGGGTACTTCTGGAAGGGGGTAACCCCTGGCTTTTGTGGAATCATTTCTGGGCCCTGTGCCGTGCTGCAGCCTCTCTGATGTTCCTCCTGGACTTGAGGATCTCCCTCACACTGGGAATCTTCATTCTCAGGCACACAGCTTTTCCCAGGTGCAGGCAGATGTGGTTGAATAGAAATTCCATAACAATTTTGTATTCTCATCCCTGAAAATGGGACAGAGCAAGGGAAGAGTAACAGCCCAAAACCCAGCCTCATGGGGTTTGGGGTGACAAGAGGTGAGCAGAGCCAGAGTCAGGGATGGACAGCTTGGCTGGAGTCTGGCTACGATAACGTGTTAGGAGGATCATGCCTGTGTTACTCTGTGGGTAAGAGGCTGCAGGGTGCAAGGGAGGGCAAGGGGATCCACACTCCTGCAGCAAAGGGCAGCAGAGGCAGTGCCAGGCTGCCCAGAGGAGCGTTGCATGAGAGGCTCTCCCTGCTGCCTGGTAAACAGGCCTTTTAAGGCATGTGTAGGCTTTGAAGTTTGCTCTGAAGCTTTCCCAGGGCGGTGAGATTGAGTGGGTGAGTGTTGAGCCCTAGGCCAGCGGCAAGGTGCAGACACCTGCAGGTTTTCCGTGGGCTGGCTCTGAACCTCTAGCCCCCTTCTTGTTGGGATGAGAAGTCTTGACAGCAGGGACACTTGAAGCATGCAGTTAGCAAAAAACGTGACACGTGAGTCTAACATCGTCACGGATATATGCTGCGGAGCATCTCAAAACTCCCCCGCAGTTAACAGCAGCTTATTCATTGCCAGAGAAGCCTTAGCTCAAAAGCTGCCTGGGTCAGGGATAACCAAGGCAGTGGTCAGGCCTTCTGGTGACAAACAGGCTGGGAACAAGCTGGCACGACG